ACTCCTCTCACATTTCCCTTTCCCTTCATCTGCCGAAGGAAATGGTGATGCTGATGCCTTTGTTTCATGCTGGGAAAAAAAAAAGAAAAGAAAAGAAGTGCTTTTTGCTTATCTTATCAGTGTGTTCTGGCAGAATATTGAAATGGAACAGCCAATCAACAGAGCTGTAACCTGTTGCTTAAATGACTCAGATAAGAATATTACTTCCATCTGCTTCATACACATTTCCAAAACATACTTTTAAGCATTGGAAAATGTTAGGGTTTGGTTTTTTTTTTTCTTAGCTGTGTTGCAAAAGATTTTTTTTTTCCCTTTTTTTGGAAGGGGGAATGTGTTACAGGTGTAGATTTATTTCTTTTTTAAACTGCTGAATGTTTTCAGTTTTGGCAATCAACAAACTATATTGAATTTTAGGATCTGTTCCTCTGCTGTTTCCTGCAGCAGAGAATTCCTTAGATCTCTTACTGACCATGAATTGCTGGCACAAAGTCATGCTGGTGTATGGTATATAAATTGTCTGACAGCAGCAAAGCCATTGATCTCTCAGGTTGGTTTAGATGATTAATTTTTAGAAATATTAAGAGCTTTGAAAGAGAGTGTTGGTATTCATGGTGATAGAATGATAGTTTTCAGTGACAAAAATCATAGTAATGTTCAGGATCTCAGGCTGGGGGAAGTTAATGAGTTACCCTGAAACTTTATGGTGTGGTTTGTAAGAAGACAGCACATGTGTTTTTACCAATTCTCGCCTTTTAGCCATAAATTGCCAGTCTGATTTCTCACCCCTGGCTTTGGTAATACCTGGTGACCAGAATCAGATTCACCATCTTCTTGTTGTATAGAACGTTTTACCAAACTCTGAAAAATGGCATGATGTGGGAATGGTGGTGATTTCAGCCATCCTGTCAGTTTCAAAGCATCCTCGCTTTTCTTGCAGCCTGAGGTGGAACAGGGTCTGACCAGTGAACCCTTCGTACAGTAGAAGCATTGGATGAACAAAAGCTGGGATAGCTTTTTCCTTTTTTACTGGTGTGCAGCAACTCGCAGGTACCTACCTGTCAGCCAGCTCACAGTCCTTTTACAGCCTCAGCACTTGTTCAGCTGTAAAAAATACGTTTTTCATCTAGTTGTTAAGCTGCTAAATCTGGAGAACAGAGTGATGTGTCTCTCCCGGTGAGTACAACAGAGGTGGAAATGCTCTCCTGACTTTTCATGTCAGTGAATGGCAAAGGGTTTAGCAGTGAACACCTTCCTGCAACCAGAGCGTCCAGCTGCTCTACAAATTTTTTTGGGGGAAAATTCAATATTTTTTTTTCTTCTTTATCTGATGCAGAAATGTGAGTTTAAAAAAAAATAAAAATCCAAATGTTTAATTACCCTCTCAACAATACTTTGGGTGTTGTGTCAGCTTGCATCGCAGAAGCTCTACATGGATACGAGCCACAGGCGTCAAAACCTAAATTTTTTTGGTGCTAAGATGCACAGACTCTTTGTGTTGTTTTTTGTGTGGCCCATACCGCAAGTCCTCTCTGCAGCTCCCCTCAGTCTTGGGTGTCTCCAGAACAGCAGATGTCTCTGTAAAAGTCTAAACCCCAGAGATTTTGTAAAAGTGAGCTGATGTATTATTTCACCTTGATAGACTGACAGCTTAGCTCCGTAAGTGTTGTACACACTCATATAGTAATACTGTCTTTGATTTTTGGTCTTAAAACCCATTACTGAGTGTCTTCTAGATAGAAATGACCCATTCAGCCATTCGTTGGTGGCTGTTCTAATAGAGCATCCAGTGTCCATCATGGGCTTGCCTTGTGTACCCTCTAATCTGAAAGGGCTCAGCTGATCTACAGCTAGTAGATAACCCAGCTGAATAATGGTTGTTGGGCTAAATTGGAGCCAAACTGAAAAGCCATTTTGTTTCTGCTTCCTGGCCTTGTAGAAATAGTCTTATTTCAGATGAGTTTGCATAATATGGACATAGTTCTTGGAAAGACAGATGTACGAAGGAGGAATGCCACTGGTAGGGACCATCAGAAGCGTGGCCAGTGTGAGCTCCGTGTTCAGGCTGGATGGAGGAAAGGATGGATTTTCTGGGCATGTCTGAGCATCCCTCGAGATGCCGTGGGTCAGAAGCACCACTGGGTGCGACGGATGGGTATGGTCATCAGCACCTCAGCCCTGACTGTGCCCGTGGCCTGTTCTCAACACCGTCCACGTTCTTTAACCCCTCTGTGGAAATGCACTGTGTGCAAGGCTCCAGTGTTTGTGATGAATAATAAATTTCCCAGAAAGCAGATGAATTTCAATTTTATGGGAAATTGTGGCGACCGAGAATTCAGTCATAGATGAGCTGAAAAGAATATTTTGATGTCAAATAATGACAGACCACTGCTAAAAATTAATTCAACGGTGTCAATTCAGGCATTGCCTTCACAGGGGTGATTTTGCCTATGTGAAAATATGGTGAATTACCTTTCGAGTCTTTGTCTGAAATCTCAACATTTTTGTTATCTTTAAAAATAATTTCAAGACCTTCTATACATTTTAGGCACTAAAGGTGAAGGCATGACCTTGCTTTGTCAGGCCTGGTGTCATCATCCTGCAGCAGCCTCGTGGCTCGCAACTTCCAGTTCTGATGGTTTGGGGTTTTTTTCCTAACTACAGATAACTTGTTTTCTTGACATTACTAGTTTGAATCTAGTAGTTAAGAAAATTTGGTTTTGAAACTATTCCAAGGTTAGGGCAATTGTAGGCTTTCTGAAATGCTCTCAAGTTTCTCATCTCAACATTTCTGACTTTAGATCATTGCTACAGACCACACAAAAGTGAACCTTTGTTTTTTACTAGTTGCTTTTTCAACTTGTTAATTAGAAAAAGGTGGTTGGAAAATGATTTATTGCATTTATTATGGCAACCTCCAGCTTTAATTGCGTACTTCAAATGCATCTGTTCTGATGCAGACCTATTTAGGAATAGTTAATATCTATTGGCTTTTATTTAATTTGAGAAACTCTTTATGTCCTCTAGGCTTGTTACATTGCTCACCTAATTGTTTCTAGCCTCCTTGAGCAGAAAAACTCATTAATGTAAATGTTAAAAAGAAGTTCCATTGCAAGAAAGAAGGAAGGAAAAGCACTGAAAAGGAGAAGAGAAAGGGAAAAGAAGGGAGCACCAAAGAATTTTAATGTAGAGCTTGTGCTGAACCTCAGAGGGGGATGCCATGAGGAAAAATCAGGGAGGAGGTTATAAAAGCGGGGAGACATCATGCTTCTTTGGTGTCTGCAAGCTCTTCTATAAGGGCAAGAAATGGGAAGGAAAGTTTATTACTCCATTTAGAGAACAAGTTTCATCTTCCACAGGGCCCTGGTGAATGCTGGGTTCAAGGCTGAGGCTGAGGATCAGGCCAGTATGCAATTTTTTCCTTATTTTAGGCTGGACTGAGAATTGCAGGGGTGGGGTAGAAATTCATCGTTGTCAATCTTGTATCCTTCTGTGGCCAGTGCATTAAAAAAAAAAAAAAAAAGTTAAAAAAAGAGATGGTGAGTGGGGTGCTAGTCATTTAAAAGAAGGTGGTGGGTGACTTCTGCAAGAGTCTTGGGAAGGCAGTGATGGTTCCAGGTGTGCCTCAGCAGTTACTTGAGAAGGTAAATGTTGAGAGATTCCAGCAACAACACCCTCCACCAAAGCAGAGCTCATCTCACCATTTTCTCTGAAGTGCACCAGTTTTGGGCAGTTTTGTTGCCCTGGAAGTGGTGAGTGTGTCAGTGTGTGGTTGGACCAGCTCTGTACGTGTCGCAGCAAAGGTTGATGTTCTGGGGCTCAGATTTGTGACTCATCTGTAAAAAGAATAAATCATATATGAGAATGCCTTTATTTTGTGTCTTCCTTCGTGCTCTAGACTTATTACCTTAATAAGGAATAAGGAGAAACAACAGAGGTTTCTTGCTGAAGTGCACTTGGTCTCTGAGGTGTTTATGTCATGTTGCCTTTTTTTTTTCTGTTTTTCTTGCAGAGGACCCATAATCGCATAATAAAATATTAATAGCACTTAAAAGAGTTAGCTCCAAGCATGAGAATATGTAACCATGTTGGTCAGTGTGTATAATATATGAAGCTCCTGTATGCACTGTGAATGTATAATAGAAATAGTTGTTCTAGTCTTAAAATTACATGTGGTGTTCCAAGTGCACACTGTAATTAGATGTTGCTTACAGAGAGATGTGTTAAAAACGGTTTTGCAAAACCTATGCATACTAAGAAATTCAATTTCTCTCCTTTGTCATTTGGAACAGAAATGTCATTACTATTCATGCAGTTCTTTGCATTCTGATGTCCTTTAATTTTATTTTTTTTAAATTTTTTATGATACAGTTTATACAGATAACTGCTCTAAGAATCTTACCTTTGCCCTGGCATATAGGCAAGCTAAGAAGTGTATTACAAGTGAAGAGCTACAGCTGCATTTAATGCTGTTATGATTTTTTTTCCCTCCGGTTTCCCCCATAACTCTGGAAAAAACCACAAATCTTGCAAAGTGCTGCAGTAGCTGACAAAATCATATTTGTGTATGTTTATTCAACGCCAAGGTTATCACTGTCGAATAAAGACAAGGTTTGAGGGTACTGGTAATGGCTTGTCCAAATAGTACTGTAAGATCCAGATGTGGTTTTTCTTACTTATTCTGCTCTAGAGGGCCAGGAATATCTGTGAACATAATTAAAAATGGAGGTTGCCATAACAAATGCCGGTATCAAAGAATTTTTCTACCATCTTTTTTGTGGGGCTTTTGGTTTGTTTGGTTGGGTTTTTTTTCAAAAGCAGGCCCCAGGAATTGTCCTATGGATGACAGGAGCAGGTTTCTTGGTGTTGGGGTATTAGCTCTGAGGCAAGGGAATGGGATACAGCCTTGTCTTCCTTCAACAGGATAGCAATACCAAATTAAAATACACTTTACATGGAATTTCTAACATTAGTTTCTGCTTTTTTTTTGTTTTCCCCTCCAGAGAAAAAATTTGGTTGAAACAAGTAATGCAGATTTTCCTTCTGGGGACCCCAGAATGTACCAGTTGGACGTTACCCTAAGGAGAGGGCAGAATTTAGCAGCACGGGACCGTGGAGGTAAGCATGCTGGGGAACACTGTCTCAATGTTTGGGAAGATACTTGTCCATTGGGTAAAGTTATTGAGGGTTTTGAAGCTACAGTTAAGGTTTGAATGGCAAGCATGCTAGTAAAACTCTGCTTAAAACTAATTAGAGGTTCTTTTGCTCCAAAGGACACAGTAAAAGGAGCTAGAGCCAGATAAAACCACACAGGAGAGGAAATAAGATTTAGCTAATATTGACTTAATTCTTCTGCTAGCTAATTTCCTACTCTTTTTGAATGTTTCAAACTAAGAAAGGTGATATAGATTTACTTCAACCGTGCAGATTTGTGCTGTCTTGTATTTTGTTCTTTGACTGCTTGTCTGATAAATACTGGAGCTGCCCTTAAGGACAAAACCAGTAAACCCCCTCTATTGGATGTGTCAAGGCTCTACCTGTTGGGCAATCTGCTGACAACATACTGGCATTTTAGTCTGCTCTGAGACAGGTACTTTTATTTATATTCTTCCTCTAGATATATTGATATTCTATCAAGCTTTGCCTAACGTTCATTAAAAATAGATACTCAAATATTTTTCTCCCAGGAGATAGAGAGACTTGCCCGGTTTCTGAGTTGTAACTCAGTTGTATCTGTCATTCATATTATTTACAAAACAACAAAGCTGTGAATGTAGATGTGATTGTTTGCATGCAAGAAAAGAAGGTAGTTGTTGGGCTCTGTTTCCACAGAGTTGTCTTGTAGCTTGGAAACTTACCAGAAAAGCCAGATGCCTGGGTTACTTTCTGCTCCCTTTTTGAAGTTTTTTCCTGTCCCTGAAAAAGCTCAGCCCTACCATCTTGAGGGACCAAGGGTGTGTTTTACTGGGCCACTGGAAGTGTGGCCACTGCAGCAATGTGCCTTTGTGGCCAAGAAGGCCAATGATCTCCTGGGGTGCGTTAAAAAGAGCATGGCCAGCAGATCCAGTTGGGTCATCCTCCCCCTCTCCTCTGCTCTGCCCTGGGGAGGCCCCATCTGGAGCACTGGGTCCAGTTCTGGGCTCCCCAGTTCAAGGACAGGGAACTGCTGGAGAGAGTTCAGTGAAGACTACAATTATGATGAGGGACTGGAGCATCTCTCTGCTGAGGAAAGGCTGAGGGACTTGGGACTTTTAGTCTGGAGAAGAGCAGACTGAGAGGGGACCTCACCAATGCTGAGCAATAGCTAAAGGGTGGGTGGCAAGAGGATGGGGCCAGACTCTTCTCAGTGGTGCCTGGGGACAGGACAAGGGGCAATGGGCACAAACTGGAACATGGGAAATTCCATCGCAACGTGAGGAGGAACTTCTTCGCTGTGAGGGTGGCAGAGCTGCCCAGAGAGGTGGTGGAGTCTCCTTCTCTGGAGATCTTCAGACCCCACCTGGATAAGTTCCTCTGCAACCTGCTGTAGGTGGACCTGGTTTGGCAGGGGATTAGATTTGACAGTCTCCAGAGTTCCCTTCCAACTCCACATCAAGATTAGACTTGACGGTCTCCAGAGTTCCCTTCCAACTCCACATCATTCTCTGATTTTGTGATTCTGTGTCAGGAAGGAGAATGTGCATTGCATCTTAGTGAAATGCAGAAGATCCTTCAGATCAGATGGGGAGTTTCCAGGACTGAGCCTTTGTTTCTTAAGGGGAAAATTCATAAACAGCACTTTTTCAGGGACCCCAAGGTAGGACCCATCCACTCATGATTGAACGTCCTCTCTGTTATCCACTGTGTTTCTGCTTGTTTTCCCTTCGTCTTGGAGCTACTCAGAGTGAGATTTTAGGAGCAGCAGCAGAACTTGAATCAAGGAAACTTCACAGGCATTAGGCAGGCACTTAGTGGATTTCAGTGGCTGCTGAATGGGAAGTGCACAGAAGGGGGCTTGACTGAATCCTCCATCAGTTTTGTCTGAGTCCTCTCTTGAGTGTAATACTACCTCTTTTTTAATAATTTTTTAAAGTATTGTGTGGTGTTCCCAGTGGTGTTTCACTAAGAACCTGGGCATGTCAAACTCAGTTCTTACTGGGGGTTTATGTGGAGTGCAAGAGGAGATTCAGTGAGTTCATGGAAAAAAGAGTCCATGAAAGGATTGAAATGCACAGAAAACACATCTGACTGAAGGTCTTTGGTCCAAGTTCTTGATGTCTAGAGGGACATTGGAGGGAAATAACATGTGAGTCCTCCTGTTTCTCTGAGGGCATCTGCTTGTAGCCCTGATGATGTGGAGCACTGAGCTCCCAGGAATCACAGAATTATAAAATTGTCCAGGTTGGAAGGGACTTTTCAGATCATCTAGTCCAACCATCAACCTAACTCTGATAAAAACCATCACTAAACCATGTCTCTAAGCACTATGTCAACCTGTCCTTTAAATACCTCCAGGGATGGAGCCTCAACCCCTTCCCTGGGCAGCCCATTCCAAGGCTTCATAACCCTTTCCATGTAAACATTTTTCCTAATATCCAACCTGAACCTCCCCTGGCACAATTTGAGGCCATTTCCTCTTGTCCCATCACCTGTTGCTTGAGAGCAGAGACCAATCCCTGCTTCTCTACACCCTTCTTTCAGGGAGTTGGAGAGAGCGAGAAGGTCTCCCCTCAGCCTCCTTTTCTCCAGGCTGAACACCCCCAGCTCCCTCAGCCTCTCCTCACCAGACTTGTGCTCCAGACCCCTCACCAGCTCCGTTGCCCTTCTCTGGACACGCTCCAGCACCTCAAGGTCTTATACCTGTGGTCTAAGCCAGAAGGTGGTTGTGAGACAGTCCATGGGAGGCACCATCTAAGGATATACATCCAAATGCTAAGTGGCACTGCTAAGGCAGATGTCTTAGGTATTAAAATCAGAGCCTCGAGGATTTAGCCCAAACTGTCTCAAAGGAGTCTTACCCTGTAGGTCTTAACAGCACATAACACCCCAGTCCTCCAAAATCTTTTCCAGATCCTCTGCCTAAAGCCTGACAATTGAATTTTCTCCAAGTACTGTCAATTTTGCTCTAGAAGAATACTTGAATTACATGGCAGAGAAGAGTTTCGTTTTAATTTTAGCTTTTTGTTCTTTGATTTTTTTCAAACTGCAGTTTCACATATCTTTTTAGAAACTTGCTGCTGAACATATTGCAGTCTTGGAATTCAAAGTTGAATTCTCATGTTGTGAATGTTCTGCACACTTTGTCTTCCCCAAATTTATAAAAAGAGACACCACAACATTCTCAGAAGGAAAGGGGAAAGATGGAAGCTATATTTGTGTGGCTAGCAATGCCAGCATTAATCACGGCTGTTGGTTGATAAATAAGCGCTGATAGTCACAACAAAAGGGGAACAGAACATTCTTCATGACAGGACCAACATCTTGCTGTTTTCTTCTCAAATGGTTGAAAATAATCCTTCGTTTTAGCAGGCGATGCTTGTGCTCTGGTGTGTGCAGTATGGCAGAAGGAAATGCACCTATTCATTTTAGCTCTTCATCTTCACAAGAAAATCCCGTCTTTTTGTCTGACCCAGCTTCCCTTGAGCTGTGGAACCATAACTTCATCCCAGCCCTGTGATGAGACAGTTTATGGTTCTGCTTCTGGCAGAATCCTGCGGTGACTACAAATGTGGTTTACAACATATGTCCACCCTGAAGCAGACCGTGTTAGATTTAAAAATTTGTTTCCTGCAACTTCCCATAATATTAGGAAAAACTCTGTAATGTTGGATCTCATAAGTTGGTAATATTAACAAGTTAACCTGATTGCCTACATCTTTATGTTTTCCATTTTAGTTTTGATTTCTCATTTCTTTTTGTCATAAGCAGTCTTTATATAATATCATGTATTTTCTGGAGTCAAAAGTTTTAGGTTAAAAAAAAAAACCCTGTAATTTGTTGCTGCTCTCTTTGACTTCTTGCATGTGGAGTTAATGTGGCTACTTCATGTTGGTAATATGCCTTTATAGATGTTTTGCAATACCTTAAATATTGCTTTTAAACAAATATACAAAACCCCCCTGTGATTGATGAATTTTTGCTTTAAAGAGACTAATTTTGAGATAGAAACTGAAATGCTATAGCAGAATTGGTGAAAGAGGGAATTAAAATCTTAGTCGTTGGTTTTCTGTGATTCATTTCCATCAAAAGAAAGATAGCAAAGTCTGTGTTTTAAATATGTTTTTCCTCACAGTGTTTTGTTACTTCACTGGAGCCTTGGAATCCACTCTTTTTCATGCTTTTTGAGAAATGTACGTGCTGGTTTGCTGCTCCACTTTAGGCAAAGTTGGGAAATAAGTAGCACGGGTTAATCCCGAGGACTTTGTGTCATGTCAAAAAACAGGCTAGATACGCAATGCATTTGATCTCTTCTGGCTTTGGATTTTTTTTTATTAGTGGTTTTGGTTTTTTTTACAAATTGCATGAAGATTAACCCGATCTTGCAAGATGGTGCAAGGAAGAAACTTTTTTGAGCAAAAGTGAAGAGTTCGTTGGCTTTGTTCATGATGATCAGAAGTAGTGTATTTTCTGTGTGAAATCTTGCAGGAAGATGCCTGAAAGCAGATGTTTGTCGTCGTCTACGGCCTTGACCTCTAAGTGGATAATATTGCGGGATCTGTGTCTCTCTCTGCAGGGGACACAGCTCAGTCTTGCTTCCTAAGATTAGAGAGTCTGTCTGTGTAGAAACAGCCCTTCAGAGTCTGACACTGCTGCTGAAACCTGCACCCAAAATGGCCAGAAGTAGCCAGAAATAGCAATGCACTTAGTCCCCTCGTGCAGTGCAGGGGCTGCATTTAAATTTGATAAATTTACTGTTTCTGGTATGAAATATTTACACCCGTAAGGAACGAGCTGCATAAACTGAGAATAATTGGGAGAGACGTCTGTCAAACCCAGGAGAATCTGAAGGTCTGAGATAATGCAAGAACATACTCGTAGACTTTGCATTTTGTCTGGTAAACATCTGCATTTTCAGGGTCTAGAGGAGGAGTAAGTGCCAGTGGGATAGCAAGTAAAGTGAGATGATTAAGTAACCCTTT